TTTCCCAACTAATTTGTAGAAATTAAGAAAAATAGGTAAGTCTATTCATTGTAATAAATGTATAGAAAATTTGTGACATTTTTTAAAAAGTCCCTGCCACTTAACTATGTATTAAAATTTAATATATAAAAATAAAAATGTTCTAATAAATAGAGGTATTATGGGAAGAAAAATTTAATAAATATCACGAGAGAATAAGACTTCTGTTAGGAATGAGAAATGACAACTCGACGAGATTACTAGAAGGACGATATATCTTAACTCAAAACTTCAAAGTTCAAGTTCACTTAAATGGAAAAATAAATATTTTACAATGATACAGTGGAGCTTTTAAGTGTAGCAAATAAATATCTATCTCCATTATATATAATATTTCCCTCCAGCAAGTTCCACCACCTCCTTGTTTGGTTTACTGAAAGAATTTTTTATGGAAATGAAATAAGAAAGGAAATGAGAAATGCATGGTATATGAAAATTAGAGGAAAATGAATGGAAAAGGAAAAAAGAATAGAAGCAGAGTTTTAAAAATATGCTTGATATAAAAATTGCAATTCTCAAAAAGCATTGGGAAATATTACAATTACCTACTTTTCAATTATACTTTCATAAAAATCTATCAAAAATCACATACGTTTTATTTTATAAATCATGATTTTAGTTTATAATCGATTTTGACCTGTGTGAGGCGTTTGGATATAGTATGCATGGTAAGAAAACTTTAGTTAAAGAGAAGAAATGACTCGATCAAAATGACGCTTCTTTGTTGACTCTAAAAGGAGAATCATAAGATGCTTATCCAAAAAAAAAAAAAAAAAAACAAGAAGAAGGAGAATCATATATAAGAGCATATAGTGTAACAGTAACTAGAATAGAATTGTAACGAAAATAATAATAAAAATAATTAAGATAACATGTTAGCATTTCCTGGAACTTAAGCATCACTCTAGGATTATTCTTAATTACAAAGGCGTATGGAAAAGCATTATTTAGAAAAGGAAAATTTCTTAAATAGCATTTAGATTGTTTGAGGAATTAGTGTCATTGTCGATTGTGGGGATTACTCATGGAAAGCTTCTTCTCCTCAAGTTATCTCTCAACTTAAATACTGTTTTCTCTCTTTGTTTTTCATATAGTTATCTCGCTAAGTCAAATTCAAGCATTGTTAAATCTAATTAAGAATAACTTTTGCGTTCATATGGACTAATATCTTTTCCAAAAATGTTGTATACATTCACACAGACTCAAATTTAAAATTTCATGATTAAACAGTTATAATTCCTTCTAATAGGATCAACGCTTGTTGGTTATTGTCTTTTTTGTAAATGTTCTTAGTTACTATATGACTGACACTCATAGCAGCGTATTCCTTGCCCATATCTCAGCTTTTTCATTCATTATTATAAAGTAAATATTATTAAACAATATATTGATTTATTACTTATTTTATCAGCCAAAAATATTTATTCCAACTATAACCTAATTATTATACATATACATAACAAAAAAGCATCATTTTTTATCTTTATTTCAACTTTCCATAGTCAATACAAAGCCTTGCTTTAGAACAAATTGCGAGTAAACGTTAAATTATTGAACTCATTTCTTAAACTCCATATAATATTTTTCATATTATATCAAGTTCCTTGCCCCACTGACTCTAACCATTATTATAGACTTATAGTATATCTATTTAATTTCTTTTAGTACTACTTCTTTTGAAAATTTTCCAAAGTGAGAAGACAAAAGTAGTGCGGTATGAGCTGTAAAGGCTAATTCTCCTTTTGATCTTTTTGTTTCCTATTGTCAATATCTGCGAGAACTTTCTAAAGTCTAATAATGTAAAGATGTCTGATACCCAAAAAACAAATTGCTCCTAGACTATCAAGAAGTTATAATTCTATGAACATGAAGAAACTTCACTTCATGGGGAGTGAAACTTCTGTTTTTTTATAGCTTATATGGTCCCCTTTTTCGCTTTTATTAAAGCAGTCTAGATTGGAAAATGAAGATTTATATGTCTAAAGGAAAAAGGACAAGGCGTGAATAAAATGTTGCCCATTCTTGGAGCATATTTTAACCCACCTTATCTCTTAAGAAGATGCTCTTCATATCGGGGGAAAATTAATTGTTTAGAATTCAATTTCCTCACATACAACTGCTCATCATTTCTCAAAAGTTTTATATATATATATATATATATATATTCTCTCTACTCCTTAATACAAGGCAAAGTTGGAGCAATTAATATTTTTCAATTTTACCCTTTATCTATTTATTTAATATCATTTGAATTACTAAACAATAATATAATATACTACCTCTGTCTCAAATTATAGGGCATTTTTTAATGAGTTTTTTCGTTTCAAAATATAAGACACTTTGAGTAGATTAATATTTTATTAAATGCACCACTTTCAATATTATCTTTCATCTCTTTATAATTAATTTTTTTGTCTCTTTTCTTTTTAATATATTAAATTATGGGTATTTTTAAAAGTTTATACTTTTGTTTTGGAAAGATAAGGTTGTTAAGTGTATTTAATGATGTTTATTGGTATGTAAAATTTTGTTTAAAAGTATTTTATAACTTGAGAAGGAGGGAGTAGTTATTAATTGTAAAGAAAGGACAACGTGAGAAAGTTATATTTTTTAACAATTTTAAAAATATAACTACAATTTTTTATATGCATGAAGTTGGTTAAATTTGCCTTTTATTAAGGACTAGAGGAAGTATATATTATATCTATATGTTTAAAACTTGTAAATACTGAACAAAAAATTTAGTATATAACACACTTGACTAGCATTACGATTGTACAAAACAAAACAAAAAAAATGGAAGAAAGAAAATTTGGATATGTCCAATAGTGGTGGTTACAACTCTTCAAGTGATTAAAACAAGGAAGAATGACAATTCAAGACCCTATAAAAAAATTAATATCAAATGAGCACATCATCTCAATTTAAATTCCTAGCATTCAGAATTGATCATGTTTCCATACTTAAATTCAGCATTGAAAATCTTTAAAAAGTTCTATATTATCACATTAACTTTTTATGAGGTCTTTAATTAGTTGTGTCATTCTCCATTAAAACAAATTAAAACTAGGTAAAAATAATTCTTAGATATTGATAAAAATGAAACCAAGAGATGGGTTGTTACAGATTCTTGACTTATCGGTCTCCCACTAATAAGCATATAATTATATATCCATTATATTAAGGAACTTGACAATTCTACAATGAGGACTTCTGCTTTAACACAGCCTTTATCACTTTTGGAATTAATTGTCAATACACTTCATTAGAAGAAAGTAAGTGAGGAAGGAAGGAAGGAAGGAAGATAGTCATAACTTTTTCCTTGATAATTATTAAAGCCTATTTGTGATTCATCACTTTATTTAAAGAGAAGTGACTCAATCAATTGACCTTATCTGTTGACTATAGCTAAATGGAGAATAGTAAGAGCAATATATTGAATAATGGTGCCAAGAATAATATCGCCACAAATATTATATTATGTTAGGGTTCTGAATGATAAGAATAACCATTCTTTACTAGCTTATTGTATGGGGTGTATTGTAATGAGCATGAATCAAGTATTATTCACAAATTATTGGGGATTCTGCCACTCTTCTAAAATTAGATTCTGATTCTAGAAGATTTTATCAGTCTCTCTTTCTTTGTATATTATCCCTTCATTTTTATCAAGTTCCTATCATATTGTAACATAGTTTATGCATTGATCATCTTTAAGTTAGGATGTTAATTAGTGCATTTTTCTCGTGGATAGTTTCTATTTTCTTTGTCTTGTCAATATATAGCAACCAATTAGAGGAGTACAAACATGATGTTTCATACTTTTTTATGCGTAAATAATGATCGTACAATATACAAAATATTTGTCAAAATTGCATAAAACCTATAGTAAGGATTTGTTTTATATCAAGAGTTAAGGAACATTTTACCTTTAATCTGTTTATTCAGGAGTACTGGGTATTCTAAATTATCAAAAGAAGGGTTAAGATAGAGTTGTAATTAATTAGAAAAATAATTATAACTATTTAAAATCTACATTAGCCAACAAAAATTAATTTCACTTAATTTGATGTCCGGAAGCAAAATCTAACACACAACTAAGGGAGTAGAAGTTTTATCTGGTTGCCTCTTAAATATTGTTGTTACTTGGTGAAGACATTTACTTTTCAGTTAGTTATTCAAAATCATTTCACTAAACTCTTCAATTTTGATTAACTCAAATTAAATGAAAATGGGAAACTAATAAATAATTGCAATCTGATTGATTCGTGAGAACGATCTTAACTCACCCCACTAGCTACTTAAACCTCTACGCATTTTCGGGTGTGCATCATTAGAGATTTCATATTCTGCACTGATGACTAATCACTACTATCAATATTGATTTATAGGCGATAAAATTTATAATAAATTATAATTATAATTAGTAAATTATGATTATATTCTAGCAATCAGCAATTGCACAGGAAAATATGTCTAGTTATTTTACCCTAGTTCATTTCTCACATACATAAATCAAAGAAGTTGAGAAAGTACATTCACACATCTGAGTGCACCCTTTATTTGAAGAATATTTTTACAACGTTTGGTGTAAGAAAATGTAAATAATTAATAATATTTGTATTCTAAGTGCTATAAATGTTATATTATATTTAAAAATTAATATGCCAAAACAAAGCTTATCGAGTGAAGTACCGAGTACACAGCGTATACAAAATAATTAAGAGGGTGAACACTCGTCTCACTCTAACTGCGCATTTCCAATTGCGTAATATTAATTTCAATAACTTTATATTTTCTTGGGGAAAAAAAAGCGTGCGATAGACTTAATCTTCTATGTTAGATATTTTACTTTTTAACTTTTGACTGAAAAAAATACTTAAATCTGACAAAACTATCATAGACATCCATATCATATATGTTGCAAGAGTTGCAAGATAATGCTGAAATCAAACGTGTTCACTTCAGGTTTATTCAAGCCCCAAACTGATCATACACATGATGAAAAGCCACAAGCTTATAATATAACAATAACAAGAAGCCTTGTTTTGAAACACAAACTTACAATATTTACATTAAAATGACAAGTGTAAGAATTTATACAGGCAGTCGCGCTTGCAAATCAAGTTCAATCCCGCATAAGTTGTCCAATTGTGATGGTGTGAAATTGATCTTCTGAATGAGATTTTGGTGGCTTCGCAAGTTCCTTAGACACTTGTTCCATGGTTGGACGAGACCGGGGATTCTCATTCAAGCAAGAAAATGCTATTTTTGCAACCAAGATCACCTCATCTAGAACTGGTTTTCTGAGTGGACAAAGTCGTGAGTCCAACACATCCTTCAACAAGAAGTCATCAGTGGTTGATTTGTCGGCCAAAGATATAACAAGCTCTGCAGGATGTGTCCCCATAATGATTTCTAAAGTCAACACTCCAAAGCTATAAATATCACATTTCTCGTTGGCTTGCATAATGAAAGCAATCTCTGCAATAGATTTAAAGTTATACATATCCATAATATATGAAAGAGGATTACTATGTTAAGAATAGTTTAAAAAGGTCTTACCTGGTGCAGCATACCCAAAAGTTCCAGCAAATGTGGTCATGTTGTTTGAGTCAGGGTTCAAAAACTTGACCGTTCCAAAGTCAGTGATGTGAGCTTCTTCATATTCCGAACTTAGAAGAATGTTCTTGCTTGATATGTCACAATGAACAATAGGGATTGAACAGCCATGATGCATATGGAATAATGCATTAGCCACACCTTTAACAGCATTCACCCTCTTATTCCAGCCAAACTCAGCGGCTTGTTTCTCATTCTTTAGTATGTTATCTAGGCTGCCACATTCCAGGAACTCATAAACCAAAATGGAGAATTGTGAATTGGAGTAAAACACATGCAGCTTCACAATGTTACGATGTTTGATCTCTGTCAAAGCTCGAATCTCACTTGTAAAAGCTTTCTGGTTGGAGATTTCCCCACTTGGTATTGGATGAAGCTTCTTTACAGCATAAACATCACCTGTAGGCAGCTCAGCTATATATACACTTCCCTGGCTTCCTTTCCCTATAAGATATTTGTCATCAAATTCCTCTGTGGCTTTGATGATATCTTGGTAAGTTACTTCTTTTTCAAGGCTCCCCACAAAATAAATCTCTTCTGGCGATGCTTCTTCATCTTTGCTTTTTGTTTTTATTGCTCTTTGATAAAAAATGTATAATGCTCCAACAAGTACTAATAGCAGTATGGCCAATGGGAGGAATATTATCAAGAACTTTCTGATCCTATGGCTCTGTCCATTTGGTTTGGGTTCGAGATCACCACATGGATTCAAACCACTGACGTTACCGCACAAGCCTTTATTATTCCTCAAAGCAGCGAAGTTTTGAAAGGCTTGATTTTTTGGAATGGGACCTTCTAATTGATTGTATGATATGTCAACAGTAGACAAAGCTGACATTGGACCGAAAATGGAAGAAATGGTGCCAGAGAGATGATTATGCGAGAGGTTCAATACTACCAACTTGGTTAACATTCCAAATGTTGCTGGTATTGTTCCAATCAGCAAATTGTCACTGAGATCAAGTTGTTCAAGTACTTGGAGTTCACGAAACTCAGGGGGAATGCTTTCATCAAATCTGTTTTTTGCTCAAATTCAAGACTATCAATCTTCGCATTTCTCCAACCTCTCTTGCGATTGAGCCATTGAAATTATTTGCAGCTAACTCCAAATCTGTAAGTTGACTAAGTGATCTTATTTCTGAGAGGATACTGCCTGAAAAGTTATTCTGGCTCAAAGAGAGTTGTGCCAACGAGGTCAACTTCCCTAGCTCCTTTGGAATTTGTCCAGACAAATGATTTGAAGACAAGTTCACCAAGCTTACTCGCCTCTCCTAGTTCTGGTGGTATACCACCAGAAAGCTCGTTATTATGAATAAACAGTTGTGTGAGGTTTGGACACTTGCCCCACGTGGATGAAAGGCGGCCATACAATTTATTGCCACTTAGATCAATGGAGTTCAAATAAGGATATACTCCAAAAGCATTTGTTATGTTATCAACTAACTGGTTATTATCAAGCCTGAGTCTTGTTAGACTAGAACAATTCTGCAAACTCGTTGGAATAGGACCGTTGAAATGGTTATCATTAGCAGAAAACCTATGCAATGTCACGTCTCGAAATATAGGAGTGACAAGTAAGGGATATACACTTTAACGTCGGTCCCTTAAAACCTCAATTAAGGAAAGTTCTAAAATAATATATTTGACTTACTATCTGCTTAATTATACACATGTAAATTTACTTTTCACACAATCAAAATATCAACTTTTTTTTTTTATAAAAGTTTTGACAGCACCTAACATATAAGTAGAATCTCTTAAAATCTTTACAATAAAAATTTTACAATTTATCCCCAGCAATATGGAGTTCCATTCCTCAACAATAGATAGAAAATATAACAAAAAAAATTAGGACCCTAGCTATAGTCTATGTGGAGCACCTAATTACATTTTCATGACATAATTCATAAATTCATATGTACATAAATAGGAAATATTTACAGAATAAATCTCTACCAAGCTTAGCAAAAATTCTCTCATTGGAAGCAGGACGTACAATGTCAGCTACACTATCTGAAACCAAAATAACTTTCTAGTGAATAACATCCCAACGATAAATAATTGAACATAAAATAAGGAACATTTGAAGCAATTATGTAAGTTAAATAGATAACGATTTTTATAAAAATATTTTAATAAATTCTAAAATAAGAGAAATTTTATATAACTTTAAATAAAATCTTAAACCATTTAATTTTCAAATCAAATGTCATTATTACTTGCTTTCAAAGAAGCAAATAAACTAAATAAATAATATTAAATAAATTACTAATTAAATCCCACAAGATATAAAATTACCAAGTAATCAAACTCATATTTGTAGGGATTTATCAGAACATGTAACAAACGTGGACACACAGTCCATGAGAGTAAATAACCAAACGCGGCTTATACCACGAAAACAAACTTGGACACTCAGTCCACGAGGGTAAATAACCAAACGCGGTCGAAACCACGAAACAAACGTGGACACATAATCTACGAGGGTAATGCTAATCAAACGCAGCTTGAAGTCACGAAACAAACGTGAGTACAATGCTCACGAATAACCATCCCTCCATTCCACGTGCATTGGCCATCGCACGGGACTAGCATCTCCTATAAACACCCTGCTAGCTAGGTATACCATGGCGCGCCAAGGGCTAACGGAACTGCCATTAGCAACTAGTGTTCTGTATACAATCCCTTTTAAAATCACTTTCAAACATACGAGAAAATCATCACTTTCAAGATACAATTCTCATTTTCAAAATCAAACTCACATGAATACTTTTAAACATTAAAACTTGCCAAAATCAAATTTCATATCCAATGCTCATACTTGCATTTATTGAATAATCAAAAATTTCAAAGTCGAACTCGTAAGAATCATTCTCTGTATCAATTCAATAATTTTCAGAATAAAAATCCCATAATTAAAATTCAAACTTGTATTTACTGATGAAATAAAATTATCAAATCCGGTATCTTTACAAAAATAAAATACTTTAATCAATAAAATATCCAATAATCACATTGTTGTTGAAAAAAAGAAATTTGTATAAAAATGTAATATTTCAATAAAATTTTATTGGAATATCAGTTGGGACGCTATCCACTTACCTGATAAACGCCCAAAATAATAGTTTGTGCCTCATAAACCTCTCAATTGTCCTTTAACTACTCTATTACCTAGATAAGAATAACAATAAATTTCTTTAACAATAACCCAAATAAATAAAACTACATCAATTATTCAATAACCTAATGTCTTGCCTAATGCATAACAAAGTTTGACTTATCCTTAAGCCATCAGTCGTTTAAAATATACATCCTTATTTTTATTTTTATTTTTCAAACCTAACATGTGCTTTTAGGCAAATTCCTTGATGATTTTCCTAACTTTAGTATAGAAAATAACTAGCTCTCGTATTGTCATGTAATCCATGATACCTTCATCCCACTTGGTTATCTCAATAGATTGAAATATCATCTCTTGTTCAAATACTTCCAATCACCAATTCTAAAATTTATGCCGCTTCCCAATAACTCAATTCCTCATTAACAATCAATTTAGACTCAAAAGAAAATCAAACCTCAATTTATTTATTTATTTATTTATTTATTTATTATTATTATTACTATTTCAATCCATTCAATACTTTACATGCTCACTTCTCTGTCCAATCATACAGCTTTCAAAAATTTAACTAATAATACATTAGCTTTATAATTGACAAAATCTCTTGTAACATTCAAATTAAACTCATAAGTAATTAGCGTCCGAACCAACTATGCTTTATGAGAATTATTGACATTTAAGAAAAAAAAATCATGAACAATCAAGACTTCCCCTAACAAACATTTATCCAATACCTTATAGGCACCGATATTCAAATTTTAATACTAAGTTCTTCTTTCATATTCGATCCTACAATTCCTTCAACATTTGTACAGCATCAATACATAACTTATTCAAGCATCCAAAGTTTATTCCCTCTACAAGATTAATATGATTTAAATACAATTCAAGCCCATGCTACTTTCTCTTCTTCCATGAACAAAATTCCAGCTTGCTTAATTGCACTGTGACTGCCTCCAAATAAATTCACACAGCACATTGAACAGAAAATAAATATAAATTTGCAGCAATCATTCTCTCACACACACATAGAATCAGCAAGGAGGAACAAATTACAACATCACCCATAAAAACACGCACACAGGGGATTCAACAGAGGGAAAAATTTTAAGCTGCTGCCCAAATTCAACCACGACAGAAATGGTATAAAAAGAAGAAACCAACAGAAACAACGGAGGTGGAAAATCATGAACCAACAATAGTGCCCACAGCCACACCGAACCAGTGAGAACAGCGATAATACAGGGAAGGAGAAAAATTTCGACAACCATGCTCAAAAGTGGAGATTCACGGCAAGCACAGATCAAGGAAAGAAAAAGATGAAATTCAACACAGAACAGGGGAGGGAAGAACTCACGGTTTGCACGACAACGCTGTGGTTCTGGGCGAACATCTCAGCAACAGCAAGCGGAATTCCTATTCTCATCAATACCATGTTGAATAGCAAAAGGACAGAGGTGCTGGATCGAATGACTTGAAGCTTCTGATCAATGGATCTCTCTTGCTCTCAGACGAAAGAAAAGTTCCGATAACACCCACGACAGAGAAACGAACAGAGGAGAAGGAGCAAAGAACAGAAGGGAAGGAGAATATCACTGGTGACCCACATCACCGATGATGAGCTGGACGGTGGAGTGAAGAGTTGGGATGGTCGAAATTTCTAGATGAAAAGTTGAAGTCTCTCTCTCCTCTGATTTGTAGCTCACCCGCAAAGAGGGTAACAAAAATAATATATATGAAAGTTGATGGAAAAATTTCAAATGAAGACCCATCAGATTTTTTTTTATTATTAATATTATATTCTAAAAAAAAGCGAAGGCATTTCAGCACTTTCTCCCAATAAAAGAAAATAAATTAACATTTAACTTAAATAAGATTCAAACTCTAAATCTCATTCAAACTCTAAATCTCCATATAAATAGTGAGTATCAATTTTGCTAAATTACTATTCCTCACTTATCCTAAAATTATGATAAATAAATTAATATTAATTAAAAAAATTTATTTAATTTTAAAATTTTGGGTCGCTACATGCAACGTCCCACTTTGACAAATTTGTTGTGGCAAAGGGCCAGTGAAATGATTATAACTCAGTTGTATGTTATACAAAGCTGTCAAATTATTCATTTCTTGTGGAAGTTGACCAGTGAGATTGTTGGCGCCCAAGATTAGGACGCTGAGCTTTGTCAAATTTCCTACAGTGGAAGGAATGGATCCTGAAAATTTGTTGTTTTGAAGATAGATCTCAGGCACATTGATCAAGTTACCAATGGATGAAGGAATTGGACCGGAAAAATTGTTCTCATGCAAGTCCAATTCTTTTAGGTTTGTTAGGTTTCCAATAAAGGGAGAGATTGGCCCCGACAGTCTATTAGAATACAAATAAATGACAGTGAGAGAATAGAGTTTCCAGAATCCATTAGGAATAGGACCCGAGAGATTGTTGTCATAAAGATAAATTTCTTGCAACTCGTTCAAGTTTCCAATTGATGATGGGATTCTACCTGACAGAGAGTTTTCTCCCAAATAAAGCTTCAAAAGATTACTTAACAATCCAATCTCTTCTGGAATGGCACCAGAAAGGGAGTTTCGGAGAAGCGATAGGAGCGTCAAATTCCTCAAATTGCCAATTTCTTGGGGAATTCGCTCGCTGAGTTTACATCCACCAAGATCAAGATTATTCAGGGTGGTTAGTTTCCCGATTTCAGGAGGGATGGGACCACTAAAAGAATTACCTGACAGTTGCAGCTTCAGAATACTGGACAAGTTACCAATTTGATGGGGTATGTTTCCATAAAATTTGTTGAAACTCAGATCAAAATTTTGCAGATTAGGAAAGGAAGTGAAGTTGAGACTCGCAAGAGTACCTTGTAGGTTGAGATTTCGTAGACTGATGTTGATCACGGACATGGATTCGTCACATGAAATTCCCTTCCAGTTCTGCCTGCAAGGGTTACTGTCATTCTTCCAAGAGGACAAGGTAGCTTTGCTTTCATCCTTAAGTTTGGATTTCCAGTTCAATAAAGCTTCTGCTTCGCTATGATCATCAGTAGCAGCATTTGCAAAGGAAGCAATACAGGAGAATATGCAGAGAATACACCATAATGCTAGCAGCTTAGTGGAATCTCTTTCAGGCATAGCTTTTGGTAAAATTTTGAATGGGGAATATCTTCAGAGATTGAATATTATGGTTGCACTTGTGAATGGTTGGCGCAGGTGAAGCTTGGGATGCACATCGATGCGGACCTTCTTTTATACTATGGATTCGCCCCAAGAAAGATTAATAAGCCTATGCTTTAATTTATTGGAGCTTTTGCTGCTGATAGCTTCTTTTCATGTTATATCCTATTTTAAGCGATATAAAGTAGATGATTTGGTTCTTTTAAAAAGTGTGGGAACAGAGGATATTGACGTGTTATTTTGGACACTAACTGTGTATATCTGCTTTAATTTATTAGTTAGGGATATCTCCAGGACAACCCCTGCATACCCTTCTATCTGAAGTCAAGAAACTCTCGTTGAGAGGGTGGAATGTGTTACTTAGGACTTGTTCATTTGTGTTCTCATATTTTATTTTTAAAAATTATTTTGCAATACAATCTTTAAAATTATTTTTAAAACGGAATAAAAAGAAAATTTGTTTAATTGTGTTAATTTAAAAATAGTTTTAGAATTAAAAAATTAGTCTATAATGATGGTTACTTGCGATTAATAGTAATGGTTTTTATTAGTTAAGGTGACTAAAGTTTTCAATAATAAATATAATATGATCCTCTAGTCTTATTTCTAGGGCATGAAGAAAAAATTTGGTCCTATTTGTATGGCACTTGCTAATTTTCAATGATTCTGTTTATATTTTTTCCTTCATTAAATATTTTGAATAAAAAATATCAATAATGAGATTTAAAAATATTTATTAGGGTAAAGGTGAATACTTATTAAATTTTAAGATAAAGTTAATAAAATTTAAATTTTTCTTGATTTCAGTGAAACATGCTGAAAGTGACTTATAAATAAGACTAGAGAGAGTATTTTGAAAATAAGAAAAATAAAATGAAAACAACTTCAAGATATTTCTAATTTTTTTTGGTTTCTAAAAAAAATGAGAACAATTTTAAAAACAATTATATTTGAAACACTTATTTAGACAAGTTTTTTAATTTTTTTAAAAACAAAAAATAATTTTTTTAAAATAGAAACAAAACATGCCCTTAATTTTTCTTGTAAAAAATTAGCTCAACGAAAGCAAAAAAATATATAAAAAATTCTTTAAGTTAATTATTAGATTTTTTTTTTCTAAAACTCCCTTCACTAAATTTGGGGTTCAAGAAGAGAAATTTGGAATTCATAGAAAAAATGTTAACAATTAATTGAGAAGAAATATGGGAAAAATTATGCTTCACAAAAATTTACCATTGTTGTTGGACCTAGCCCTCATTTTAGACCTTTCTGTAACCGGCCCCATGGACATGGCTTCCTCCATTTTGATATGTGTCAGGTTTAGTACTAGACCTTTTTCACAATAACTAGGTATGGTATCTTCTCATATTTTTTTGGGAACATAACAAGAAAGTTCAAAAGCTGGAAATTTATTATATTTATGTGCTGGACAAAATTTTCTTTACAATAAGCTATAAATATTAATTTAAATAGTTAGAATAAGAATTTCAACTACAAATTGAAAGTGATACTTAAACTGAAAGTCTTATTTACAATTATAATTCTTAAATTTATGACTATTTGAATCAATATATATAATTGATTTTTTTGATAAATTTAGTCAAGGACCAAACTATTATAAATTCACTATTGATTTTAATATCATTCTCCTTATTTTTTTTTTGGGCAAATAACTTCAAAATTCATGAATAAGGATTCTAAATACTCTAAGGCCCCATGAAATGGACAAACTAGCCCCAATCTTAAATCTTTTATTTTAAATATATTTTATGTTTAATTGCTAAAATACTCTTACTATTTTACTTCTTTTTAAAAAAATGTATCTACTACCAGCCACCAGAGCTCCAGTTGGTAGTTGGCAACCAAAGCCCACTGCCAGCATCGGCCAGGGAATTATTGGTCATGAGTTGGTGATGGGAGGCTTTGAGGGCACAATCTCTTAGATCCTAAAAGATTATAACACCAAAATGCACACAAATTGTTACGCCACAAGTATACAGGTTAATATATAATATGTTAGTGTGTCAAGATTGATCCCATCAGGAATCAAGCAAAATAGTGATTAGGTAACAAAGTTCTCACTTTTATTTAAGTTAAGCAAAACTAACTGAAATTGATTGAGTAACTAAAATTAAAATTGAATTTAATAAAATGCAACAAGATTCTTTATCCAACAACTGCTTAAGTAAAAAGCAACTTAGAGTCGTTAGTCCCTTATTAACTTCATAGACTCCATTTTAATCTAATTAGTTAATTAATTTTAATGCCAGTTTTATTAATTAAATCCACTAACAACCTCTCTTAAATTAATTATGTTATGTATAACACAATTATTCAAGAGTCAATTCAAACTAATAACACTCCACAAATGATTAGATGGGGCAATTAGATATATGTAAATCCTAATTACAAATTAGATAAAAATATAATTCCATGTTATTCAATCTAATGGTCCAAATAAAATTTCCCTTTATTAAAAAAAAAAGAAATCCCAACACACAAAATCCCATGTAGGGATATTGGGACATAAAATTCAAATTTTGCTTATTTTTAATCTTTACTTACAAACAGTATTTTGACTCTTGATTTAGACCGTCTTACATATAACATATAATTTTAGCTCAAGTAATTAATTCATTTCAATAGGATGCTATCAATTCTCCCTTCTCATTTTCCAAAGCACTTGTCTTATTTTTTTCTCAAATAATATTCTCATTTTCTCTCAAAATTAATTAGATGATTCCAAATTGAACCCAAAATTTCCTAATAACATATAAATATATATATATATATATATGCAAAATATTTTATATACTTTGCGCCAAGGAAGACAAGTTGGTTAAATGAAATTTAATAGCAACTATTGTGTAAGGTACTTTATGTTGGGTCACTTATTAATGAAGAAAATGCCCATTGACCAGTCAATATCATATGAGATACTTGTTATTTATCGTGGGTTACTTGTTAATGGAGAATACACTCATTTAGTAGTCATTATTGTATAAGATATATGTATACTTATTATTCACATTGGATCACTTGTTCATGAAGAATATGCTCATTTAATAGTAAAGTAAAGGTATTTTAGTATTTAAACATAAAATATATTTAAAATAAAAGATTTATAACTTGAGGGTAGTTTTTCGTTTCTTGGGACCTTAGAGTATTAGAATCCCTATGAAAAAATTTGGAGTGATTTTCCTTAATTATTTTTTTATCACTACTCGAAGCCTCTGGCTCTTATTATATTACCTTTGTAGTTTACTTTTTTTTTTTTGTTTAGCTAGTTGCTGTTGCATTAAAGAAAAAAACGGTTGTAACCAACATATTCTCCAAATAATAATAATAATAACCCAAGGAAAATTAGGAAGAATGATAATAAGATCGTAAAAGGATGAATTAATGATAGTTAAGTTCTTGATAAAATTTTTTATAAAATAAATTATAAATATTAATTTAAACAATTATAAACAAGAATTCGAAGTGCAAACTAATTATTATAATTATAATTTAAATTTTGTATTTATAATTAAAAATTTTAAATTTATAACTTTTTGAATCAATATTTATAATTAATTTTTTAAAAAAAAAATATATCGAGACCTAATTATCGTTAACTTTCTTTTTTGAACTTAACTGTAGTTCTTCCAAAGAATAATGTTACAAGATCACGCCGTCCCTACAAACCTTTACCTGCCAATTGAACTTTGCTTATGTGCATGCTTTTGACTGGGACTTATTGGCATCATATCATAATCAATTTGCTTTCCTTCCCTTGTTAAGAGATCAGCAAGCATGCTTTACTTTATACTCTTTTTTTTTAAAAAAAAAAGCAAGCATTAGTTTAGAGTTTTGACGCAATTAAAGCGTCAGAATCTGACATGATTTTCTTGGAGACTTATAATGTCATGCATTACAATTAAAGCTTGTCATTACTTTTAGCTGACTAAATAAAAGTTTTGTTGGGGTATTTAGTAACTATTTTATTTGATTTATTTATATCTATTAGCTGGATATTTCTTTTAAATATAAATGACATGCATGACAATCAATTTAAAATGATATTATTTTATAACAAAAAGGATAATTTTGAAAAATGTTGAGGGATTACTCATTCGCTGTTTACGAAGTGTATAAATGCCATAAAAATATATACAAATGATAGGGAAATAAAATGCATTGAATTTGCTTCCCTTTACAGAAAATGATTGTAACAACCTCTCGCGCTCACTACAAAAAATTATCTTTGCCAATAGAACTTTGCTGATGCGCTTGCTTTTGACTGGCATCGCACTTATAGTCCACTTTCTTTTCTCACCTCTTACAGATCAGGCAAGCGTTACTTTAGACTTTAGAATTTTTTCTTCAAAAAAAAAAAACAGAGAAAATTATGAACAGGTCACAACCATTAATCTTATTTACAAAGAAGTCTCACAAAATGTAAAAACTACAACTGAATCTCTTAAAACCTAAGTGTAATTTGTAGTTAAGATATAAATACTATAAAAATAATATTGTCCTTGTCAGTCTAGCTTTCACTTATAACTGTAACTTCAATATTTACAAGTAAAAAGTTGTTCATAAATCAAATTTGAGTGAAAGTCAAATTAATTGTCAATAACCTTATTAATGATGTCTAAATTTAAACAATTCGTGGGCTAAATATGTAAATTTCAAATGAACTCTATTACTTTCCTTACATTCCAATTGGACTAGTTATAACTTTAAGCATGCATAATTAACTCCATGAACATTCCATGTCATGTCAAGCATTAAACAAAAAATTTAAATTATGAATTACAATTTTTTTATTTGTAAATTATGAAGTAGCATATGTAAATAAAAGCCAAATTAATAAGGGCAGTATTATTTTTGTACTCCAAGCTCAAATTACACTCAATCCCCAAAAGACTTGACAGTAGTTTCTCAATTTCACAAGATTTACTTATAAATAAAGA